AAAAAAAAAAAAAAAAAAGAAAAAAGGAAAGAAAAGGGAAAATAAAAATAAAAAAATTGCTTACCAAAAGAAAAATCATTAATAAAAAAAAAAAATGGAAAGAAAAGGAAATGGGATGAAAAAACGGAAAAAATATAAAAAGAAAAGAAAAACAATCAATCCCTTAAATAAATAAATAAAAATATAATTTATTATTATTATTATTGTTGTTTTCGAGGATGAAACATATTCTTTTTTTATGTACGTAGGTTTTGTTGCAAAAAAAGGTTTTTGAACCCCTTAAAAGGTTTTATTGTGAGCCTAAAAAAAAAAAAAAAAAAATTTCTTTTGAGTTCTTATTAGGGGTACTACCTCGTGCTGTAAGCGTACAAGATGTTGTGATAAATGATAAGTGATGATAAATAATTTTGATGAAAGAAAAAGACAGAAAAAAAAGGAAAAGATAAGCAAAGTAAAAATGAAAGGGGTAGAGGGATGGAGAAAAAAAAAGAAAGAGACAGAAGGAAAATTGAATGAGAGAAAAAGAGAGGGAGAGACAGAGGAGAAAGAGAAAGATAAAGACAAAGTGAGTGAAATAGATAGAGATAAAAAGAGTGAGAAAAAGACAGAAATAGAGAATTTGAGATAGGGAAAAAAAATCGAAAATAAAACAGAATAAGAGAGAGGGGGACAAAAAAAAAAGAATGAGAAAAAGAAAATGAGTTAGGGATAGAAAAAAAAAAAGAAAAAGAGCAAGGAGTGAGAAAGTAAAGGAGATGGATAGAGAAATAAACAAGGAGATAATAAGAAAAGAGAAAAAGAGAGAGAAAAAGGAAAAGACATAAATAGAGAATTTGAGTTAGAGAAAAAAAAGCGAAAATAAAACATAAAAAGAGAGAGAGAGAAAATAAACTGGAAAAAAAAAGAAAAAGACAAGGAGAGAAAGAAATAGACAGGGAGTTAATGAGAAAAGAGAGAGAGAGAAAAGGAAAAAGAGAAACAAAAAGGAAGTGAATAAGATAGAGAAAGAGAGAGAGAGATAACACGTTATTTTATATCGCGTAAAATTTGCGGCGCTTTTACAAACGTTTACATATAAACTTACGTCATCGTTGTCTATAAATATTATAGCGCTATATATATATATATATATTTAATAATTTTCGCGCGTAAATTTAACGATTATAGCAGAACTTTTTTTTTAAAAAAATATATTTAATTTATAAACTTGCTTTCCTTCAATTTATATTTCTACGCTATTGCTATAATTTATAGCAAC